ACTCTTTCCTTTCCATCTTCTAGGTCCTTGTTTCTTGCCTTTGGCTTCTCCTTGTCCCCAGAGCATAAGCGCTCTCCCTGGCCCTCCACAGCCTCTAGGACATGGGTCCTAGCTCTTCCATTCCAGCTGCTCCTTTCCTCAGTTGTGAGGTTGCTTTTTGAGGGCGTTTTCACCTCCCTTTTGTTACTTGAACAATAAGTAACCCAGGTAGTTAGTTATAAACTCAAAGGGAACAAGAGGCTAGTTGATAATTTATAGCAACATCTCAGCGCTCTCCCTGGCCCTCCACAGCCTCTAGGACATGGGTCCTAGCTCTTCCATTCCAGCTGCTCCTTTCCTCAGTTGTGAGGTTGCTTTTTGAGGGCGTTTTCACCTCCCTTTTGTTACTTGAACAATAAGTAACCCAGGTAGTTAGTTATAAACTCAAAGGGAACAAGAGGCTAGTTGATAATTTATAGCAACATCTCAAATTTAAATGGAAAGTAAATATCAAGTTGTTAGCATTAAAGAAAACCCAATCCAGAGAGCTAGGGATGTAACATTCAGGGGAACTTCTCCTTCCCTCTTCCCGATATTTCTTCTCAAATTCCCTCTTTTTTTCTCCTTATTTTGTCTTTCTGTCCATCCTTTTCCCTTTATTCTCCTCCAGCTCCCAGGGCAGCACAGTCTTGTTTTTCATATTCTCTGGTGCAAAAGATCTGATATGATCTCTTGGATGCAGGTTCTGAATTCGTCCTGCTTTGAACTGGAAATGAGTTCAGGGGAGATCCAGAGCTCTGAAGTGCTCAGGATCATCCCTCCAGTCCTTTCTATTGAAGACTGCTAGACAACTATCACCGGTTTCAAGGCACAGACTGGACCTGAGGTAGGCAGTGAGCAGGGAAGGTAAGACTAGCCTCTGCAGGGTTGTTTTCTGTTTGAATTTTGCTTGGTTTGCCTTAGTTTGGCCTATGCAATCATATGCTAAAATAGAAGGGGTGCTTGTAGCTTTATCGCAGGGCTCCTCAGAAACCAGCTCTCCCTGGGGGTAAGGGATGGGCCTTTTACCTCCGTATTCCCCTTTGTCCTCTTCAGAAAATATGCCCCTTCCCCAGGCTCCAGTGGAAATCTTC